TTTTCTTTTTTCTTTTCTTTCTCTCTTTTTTTTTTTTGGGAACACGTCAACATTCCCGTAATTAAACTGTTGTCGTCCAGGAAGCGATAGTGATGTCACTAAATTATGATTTCAATATTAAAAATGTGAAAAATAAGAAATGAAGAGTCCACAAAAAACCACAGTCATTTGGTAGAATTTCAAAAAGAATTTGGTCTTGATTGTCATTAATATTCTTACAGGGCTCCTAAATTTCTGCTTTTTAAAGAGTGAATGACGATTCTAAAATTACATACTCTTATATTGTTTTTAAAAGCATGACAGTAAGTTTATTACTAAACAAATACTTCAAAAATAAAATTAGACCAGAAGTTTCATTTTTGCTAACAAATTAGATTACAAAGTTTTTTTTTTTTACAAGCAAAAAAGTTTTATTTTCGGATGGAGGTTAACTCATAATAATATAATAAATGACCCAAAAGACGTGTCAAGATCATAAATAGGTTACTAGTAATAGGCTTTGGACAGTTTGACCTAAGAAGAGACAATGGTCAACGTTACGGTGGCTGTGGAGACTGATGAGTCAGTGCCCTCCGCTCCTCTTTGTTGGTCTTACCCTGTAGCAGCCGCCGTGTGGCGGCCTTACATCATTCCCTTCTGCCGCGCACGTGGGCAACTCCCCATTTCTTTATTTTTTTTTTTCACATTTTTTGAATTTGGATCCTTTGAAGAGTAAAACCTCTCGTGTTTTAGCTAAAAACGCAAAAGAGAACGTCATGAAATGTTTTAAGTATACAATTATAAAATCGCCGCTGATATATAAAGTTGATTTGGTTTTAGAGCACACAATATGATTAAAATATTTCTATACAATACAACTTAAGTTGATTCTTTTCACATTTAATTTAAAAATATTATGTATGAATAACTGGAATCATTCTTAGAATGGTGAAACCTGTTTTTTTTTTTTTAAATAATATTGATACAACTCACTTGAATTAATCTGTCATTAGGCATCCCAAAATTATTACGAAACGATGCCTTTAATTAAAGACCTTGGATATATAGAAGCTGTGTTTTCGTAATAATCGACGACACTGACAAGCTGATGATAATTATAATCAAAGCACGCACTAAGGATCTAATTATAACGTTAAAAACTTACGTTGTTTCCTTTGTTTTTTGTTATATTTTGATGCTGATGGTGTTATTAATGACTCATCCATGTCTACTTATAATACAAGTCCAACATGATTATATTCTTCTCGAGTAACCTGAATTACTAGGTGAGAAGAAAAAAAAATGAAAAGAGAAATATTGTAAACACACACACATATCAGGGGATGAGAGCATGCCCACAGATTTTTCTAGATGGTTTAATAATAATTTGGATAATCCTAAATTGTTATAATAATCTTCTTGCGTTGCTTATAATGATTCTGTATTTGTTATTAATTTATTAGAAAGCGTGCGTGATGCATTTCCTAGGATATCCAAGTAATTTTTAAAGATTACTGAACTAAACCACTGGTGACTTCCCCCCCTTTTTTCCAGTGGCGAAGCCTGTGTTGTTTTCTCGGTCTGCGTGATGAGGAGTTAATTTCAAAGGAGGAAAAGAGCTAGTTCACTTACTTCTTGCACGTTTTCCTACGAAAACCCAGAGAAAGGCTCCCCCCCCCCCCCCCCCACCAAGGAATCGCTTTCCAGCTAGAATGCCTGAAAACCAGAGGCAAGATGGGATTTCGCTGAAACGAAAACCTGGGGCCAGAAATAAAACAAGGGAAGCATACATGTGCGTTAAGCTTAAATAATTAAAGTATAATCAGCAAGTTAATTAATACTCCTTTATCCTTCATGTATAGTCTAATTAGAAATTTAATGTTAGTCCTATATGTAATATCTACTCCTCCGGTTCTAAATATAAGACCCTTATATACATTAGTATAACTATAAGGGTCTTATATTTAGGATCAGAGGAGTATTTCATAATTTTGACATTTTTTTTTAAAAATTAACCTCGTTGATATTTTCCCATCAATAATCAGGTAGGAAAGGGAAGAAGAAAATTAAGGAAGATACTTATGGTATTTTAGAAGAAAACATATTTCATACTACTTCCGGTCCTAATTATAAGACCCAGTTGACTAATTTGAAGAGATTAAAAACTTAGTTAAATTAGTTATTTGTAATGAATATGTGTTATTTTTTCTAAAATATCCTTACTAATCAAGTTTGTTATCTAAAACTATCATGATTAAATGACTATCTTGAAAAAAAAAAGGATAAATATGGGAGACAAAGTGGATTGGAATCTTATATTTAGAACCAAAATAAAATTTAAAAGGAGTCTTATATTAAGGACCAGAGGTAGTATTAACTAACCTAACTAGCATTCTTAATATCCTTAAATTAGTTAATTACGTCTCACATTAAAAAGCGAAAAAAGTATTATGATTATGATGCATGCATCCAGAAAACATTCTTTTTTCCCCCTATTTAATGAAGGGTTTTCCTTTTCAAGCGTAAAGAGTTTTATTATTATTATACATAAATTTGTAATGAACCAACATGCAAATTAAAGTACAATGCTATTATCTTGTATCACCGGAAAAAAAGCACATTATCACTCTTTTTTCTTTTCATATACTACCTCTTGTCTTAATTGTAAAATCTCGTTTATAGACTATAAACAAGATCTTATAATTAAAACTGAAAGTAGTACAAACTATCATCGGGCATGGATGGCGAAAAGGAAGATCGATCCGCGTTCAATGGCCAGCATGTTCAACAATTATGATCATCAAAGCAAAGAAGCAATAACAATAGTCTTTATATGTACATATGGTATTTGATCAGTTACAAAGTGAGAATAACAAGGTAAGATTAAAACAACGCACGTTTGTCATTATGTCTTTGTCATGCATACATACGCCTCCGCATAAGCAGAAAGAGTGAAGTCTTTTTTAAGAAGGTGCAGAACAAGATAACATTGAAATCTCTTGCCCTGACTATTCAAAGGAAGCGTGCAAAACTATGCTTAGAATCAACATCCACCATCTAATAAACCCATCCATGGCAAATTTTAACATTTTTTTTTCAAGCGTTCACAGGGCACAACACTTGTATGACTCTGGTTAACATAGAATTTTCAATGTGTCAAGAAGAAGGAAAAAGAAAAAGAAAAAGAAAAAGAAAAAAAAACTAATTAAAAAAAGGAACCTATTTAAACGTTTAACTGAATTGTGGTTGATATTTTAGTTAGTTTTTAAGGATGGGCCAACATTAAAATAAAGAAGCCCATATAAGGACCCCAACCAGAAATAATAGCAACTGCCCTTATGCGCTGACGCACTGCTCAGTCATGATTTAGAGCCTGTTTGGCTATTTCCAAAAATATTTTCTAAAACTATTTTTTTTTACAGATCGAAATAAACTCCTCTATATATTTACTTAGTATACTGTAAAATTATTTTTAAAATTATGATTTAGTTTTCATCTAAATATCTCCTTAACATGACCCAATAAAGAAATTCCCTATAAAGAACCTTATTCCCCAAAAACAAGTCCCCCCCTCCAAAAAAACACACGCACACAATAAATGCAAAGTCCGTATCAAGTTAAGTTTAGCAGAAAATGTTAATTTTTTATAATATGGTATGAAAGATATGTTTATATTTAATATTTGATAATATCTTGAATAGAATTAATAGATGAATAGCCAAAAAAAAAGAAAAGCAGTCAGATTTGTATTTGGAAAACAGAGACAACTGCTTATGCCCAACTGGGACAAGAAGTTGTGGCCCAAAAGGCCCTGCTGCTGAGCCTCTCTCTAGATGGTACCAGACCTTTATGGCTGTGGCTCTCCAGTTTGACGTGGAAGGATCCATATCATTATATTCTCACTCAACATGCTTTCCCATCTGTCATTGTGTCATCACCTTTTTTAAATTTCATTTCTTATTAGGCCCACTATATACCCCCCCAGAAACCCAATAAAAAAAAAAGATGAAAACATAAAGATGCCCATAAGTAGGAGATACACTTTTGGAGCATGGATCCATTTTAACATCCCCAACACATGACAACCATTCTTCCCTTCATTATCATTAAGCCTGTTCCTGCTTCCTCCTCTCGAGTTCGCTCTTTGCTCTTAAAAGTTATACTCATTTATCTTATTTATAAGATAGAAAGAGAAGAAATTTTTTTTATTCTATTTATAGGACAGTGAGAAAATTTTTTTGTATGGATATACAATTTTACTCCTCATTTATTATCGTGTTGACTTTATTTACATGAGATATAATGTATATTAAATAGGGATAAAGTTAAAACGTTATTAAATTTTAAACGAAAGTTAATAAAGTTGAAATTTTTTTTTGTCTGTGTGAAACATGCTGAAAGTACTTTATAAATAGGATCAGAAGAGTAACTAATATACTCATTATACTTTTTACAGAGAAAATTTAAATTTACAGCATCATGTTTAAGCGAGACATTTGACTGATATGAATAGACTGCGAGATTCTCTATTATGCTCTCAGAGCTTATCAAATACCTTCCCATTAAAATGATTAGCAGAAAGAGGATAAAATTTGGTATTCTTCCGGTCCTAAATGTAAGATCCTTATATTAGTAGTATAAGAGTCTTATATTGAGAACAGGAAGAGTATTAACTACGATTATAATTATAAAATTTTATTTATAAATTGTAAAGTATAAATGAGCTTTTATAATTATGATAGGAGGTACTGTTATATTCATGTCTATCTTGCTTCTCTCTCTCATAAAACGAAAGTCTCCTTGTGGTCTCAACTATTCTAACCAAAAAAAGAAAAAGGCCACGTGGAAGTAAATCAAACAACTCGGACAAAATCGTCATTTCACTCACTCACCATGTTATTTGTCTTCTCCTCCACATTTATGTCGGTTTTAACAGTGCATTATACTGTGTGCCGCTATATATATTGGACGCTGGAAAATTTCCACGCGTGCGTTCCTGACCGAGATCCCGACCTCTAAATTGGGTTATTTCCGAAACCGAGCAACCAAGGCGGAGGCAACAGACACAAGCAAAGCTTGAAGCTAGAAGAAGACGAGCAAAACCCAGATAAAATCATCAGCCACACATTCCGCACAGTTCTTGGCTGCTGCTATACCTCAAGTTCCTACTCTTATGGTGTCGGTAAATCCGAATCCTGCTCAAGGCTTCTACTTCTTCGATCCCTCCAGGATGGGGCTTCCCGGTGTCAATCCTACGCCGCCACTTCCCCCTACTGCTACGGCTTCTTCGTCCACGGCCATCCCCGCCGGCGTCAGCACGGCTTCGTACGGGGACGATCTGAGTAAGAAGATCAGAAAACCATACACGATTACCAAGTCCAGGGAGAGCTGGACGGAGCAGGAGCACGACAAGTTTCTCGAAGCTCTCCAATTGTAAGTTTTGGTTTATCTTTATCTCTAATTAAGGTTACTATGAAAATATTCTTGCTTTTTTGATGTTTTTGTATCAAGCACTGTATTTCTTTACGGATGGATTTCGGATTTCCGCTAATGCAAGATTAGAATCGACCATTTCTTTCCCCTACTCCATCGCCTCCCCCAATTGTTCTAGTTTACTTGATAAGTTGACGTGATTAGTTGAGAATTTCTTTAACTAGTGAAAGAGGACCCTCAATCTTTTAGGTTACCGCAGTAGTTTCGTTTATAATCCGCCGGGGGCAGGGAGTGTCACAATTTACTATCCTTTTCTTTTATTGTTCTTGTTATTACGAATTTCCGTTCCTCTCACCGATTTGAAGTCAAGTATTATGGAATTATAATTTGGGCTTTAAATTTTGATTTATGAGTATGCATAAGATTGAAAAAGGATCTTCTTGAGATAGAAAGCTAAGTACTTCGTTCCTCAAACCACAGGTGATCAGCTCTCTTCAGAACATAAGTATTAAATCGCTGTGAAATTTGAGTTTAGTAGAGTTATTCAATTTGCACATTAGATACAGTGAATCCCTCAAAATAAACGTTCTAAACACCCAAGATAAGCGATATATACAATTCTTTCACATTCAAGATAACGTATACTCTTGAAGATGCGGTCATCTGGCCCGGCAAACCAGACAATCTAATTGACTGCATAATGCCAGTATGCTACAAAGTTTCCTCTCCTCTTTGCATCAAAAACCTTTGAACCGAATTAGGAGAAACTGTCGAGTTGAAGGTGCATGGTTGGCATTCTACTTTTATGAGGATGCATAGTAACGTGGAGATGAAATACCATGCTTTCTGCCTAAACACCCCCCCCCCCAAAAAAGAAGAAGAAGAAGAAGAAGAAAACAAATCTCTGAAAAATGGAAGTAAAAGATAACTGTTTTGTTGGCTGCTTGAAATTTGTGTCTTTTTTATGGAAATCAGATTTATTTGCTCATTTTTCTTACTTGTTTTCTTTGTTATGTCTGACTGATCTTAGATTTGACCGTGACTGGAAGAAGATTGAAGCATTTGTTGGTTCAAAAACTGTTATCCAGGTAATTACTAATCATCCTAGAAGGGAAAGAGAAATAAAGAACATGATATCATTGGGCATTGGATGCTTTAATTGTTTTCCCTATAGCATGACAGTGCAAGGTGGACTATTTGCATTGTTGGGGACCAGAAATACTAATAAGTGAAATAATGTTGCAGTTTGTCGTATGTTTGAGTAGAGAAGAAAGAAAGACATCGAGTTTTGAACTCATGTTGAATTTATATAATGAATTCCTCTTATTAGTTGCTGTGTTGGCAATATGAATGAGTCATGGTTGTGATTGTTAGAATGTAGTGATTGCCATTTAAACATGTTTGTTCCGGGATATAGAAATTATATTGATTTTTTATCATTTTTTTCACGGTAAAACTACTTTGCATGTTACATGGTCTGCATGTACCTTCTTTCTTCTTTTTGGCAAAGCTGTATCATATATTTATTACTTCTCCTCCTACACTTTGGCAGATACGAAGTCATGCACAGAAGTATTTCCTGAAAGTTCAGAAGAATGGAACAAGTGAACATGTGCCTCCCCCTCGGCCAAAAAGAAAGGCTGCTCATCCATACCCACAAAAGGCACCTAAAAATGGTTAGCAGCTTACCATAGTCGACCACTTTTCATGCATTCATTGCTTGAACCTGCTGTGTCTTTTGGCTTCTGTGATTAACTGTTTTTTTATGATGTTCATTTTAGCAGCTCCAGCAGTATCCCAAGTTACAGTGCCATTGCAATCATCATCTTCTTTCATTGAGCCCTCGTACATTTATAGGCCAGACTCTTCATCTGCGCTTGGAACTCCAGTTACCCGTGTGCCTTTGTCAAACTGGCCTTGTAATGTTAGCCCACAGCCCAGTGTGCCACAAGTGACTAAAGGTTTGATTTGATCTCAACTCCAGTGCCTTTTTTTTTAAAAATATTTTTTTTAATATTTGGTTCTCTATTTCTTGCCATTTATTTATTCAATGAATTTAGATTTAGATAAATTGAACACCCTGTTGACGCGGAAATTATTGATTTTTCTATTAGATGAGATGGGGTTGCATGGGCAAGCTGCTTCTCTAAATTGTTGCTATAGCAGTAGTAATGAGAGCACTCCAAGGGCTTGTCCAGGTAGCAAAGTTATTGATCAAGGAAACTCAGGCAAGCTGATCAAAGGTTGGTTGATTTATTTTCTCCGTTTGAGCTTGAGATGAATTTGACACACTGGCATAAAAAATATTGATAATCACGTTTATCTTGGCTGTGTTGAAGTGGCCTGTACAGTGGGTTTAAGTAAATAATACAAATAATTACTTCATTAAGTTATGTTTTTAAGTTGAGTTCAAGCATGCAGTGTCTCAACTGTATTATGTGGTTGCTTCAATTCTTGGAAATTCTCGGTACAGTAATCAGTAAAAGAATTTTATTTTCATAAGGATGTTGAGGAGACAAATGATGAAGGAAATTATTCCCAAGGTTTCCATCTGTTGAACCAGACTTGTCTTGCAAATTAAACGCAAATATTCATGCTGAACCCATGTTCCTGGTCCATGAAACTGCCCAGAATTTGAAGGTTTTTAGGCACTTTGGGACCATGTTCCAATCTAAGATTACTATTGTTGCCGTGCTTCTTTGGATGAGTTCAGAAATTGTTTACTGCTTTCTGTCGTTTACTCTCGCCCCAGGGCTAGATTGGCTCCCATTCCGAATTTACTGTTTGGAGCGCTATACATAATTACTTTATGTTACTTTTCCTACTTCCTAGTCATTATTCTTCAATTTCGGATGATACCTTGTGTTTATGTTGTTATTGTTTGTCATATATTTTATTAGCATGTTCATGATTTTGACCACACTTTCTGTCGACCTTCACCTGTCAGATGCAGTAATGCCAGATTTTGCACAAGTTTACAGCTTTATTGGTAGTGTGTTTGATCCAAATGCTGCAAATCACTTGGAGAGACTGAAACAGATGGACCCGATAAATGTGGAAGCTGTAAGTAACCACAAGCTGGTCCTTGTTTTTCCCCCACATCATCGTCCCTCTATTTTTTGTGTTGGTTTGAACTCTAAGAGTATGTTTGAACTGAGAAGCTTGCATGGTTCTTTTTGCAGGTATTATTATTGATGAGAAACCTCACCATCAATTTAATGAGTCCCAAATTTGAAGATCATGTAAGACCTGTTCCCTAGTAGATGGAATTATTCTCTCGGTAGTTTTTCATCTGATAATTGCTAAGCACATCAAATCTAATATGCTTATTTTAGATAACATGATGCTAGATATCACATGATTCCATCTACCTGAATTACTTTAAAGCCAATGCGTTGAATTTCCTGTTTTGGTATTTTGTAATTGTAATGGGAACTAGAAAATGTTTAAGGTTTAGGTGTGGGAATCATATTTATGTTTGATAGCATGGATGATTCCTATTGAACTGTGGTTTTCTAGATATAGGGGATCTCTGATTTTGGCCACTCTTCTTTGCGATAAATACTAATATCTTGGTCGAATAAGCAGGCTCCCTCTATTTCCTAACATTTAAAGCTGTATGTAAATATGACTGAGCAATAAATACTAATATCTTGGTCGAATAAGCAGGCTCCCTCTATTTCCTAACATTTAAAGCTGTATGTAAATATGACTGAGCAATAAATACTAATATCTTGGTCGAATAAGCAGGCTCCCTTTATTTCCTAACATTTAAAGCTGTATGTAAATATATGACTGAGCAATCTGAAGTTATTCATAATGTCAGTTTATGGTCACCGGTAGGGGACATATTTGCCAGATCCATTTCCATGTTCTTTGCCATTGCCATGTGGAATGATGAAACCCCGATGAAGTACAAAATCCATTTGCATTTATGCCCGACGAAGTACAAAATCCTTTTGCATTTATGCATGATGATGACCTCTATTATATGAACTGTATTATAATCTACTAAATTGCTCACTTTTTGCATAACATTCTGAAATTAATGCAGAGAAGGTTGCTTTCATCCTATGATCCTGACCATTAGAAGGAGAAGTCTGGTAATCTCTGCAGCAATCCTTTAATCTCAGAGTGCAATTCTGTCTGCTTAAAGCGGTACAAGTGGATTCTGCTTCACGGTGATTTCATATGTTTTCCAAAACCTGAAATTCTCTGTTCACTACCTCTGATACTGAATAGTAAACTATGGGCTCCTTGTAAGGTGAAAGAATGTGAGAAGTTGGGCGCTAGGTGTTTCATCTGTATATAACGTGACATGCAATGTTCGGGATTTTTGTTTGGTTTAGGTATTAGGTGGGAACGGAGTTATCCTTGTGGTTTATCTATCTAGGGTCTTGTGTATAGCTTAGGAAGATGATTATCCTTGAAGCATTTGTTTTCTGTAAGTAGGATCATACATGTAGAGTCCTCAATTTCGATCGGGTCACTTTTGGAGGCTATATTGTACAGTCTGCTGAGCGCTTTTGTGTGTTTTGGTATGAAGCTGCTTTTAAGATTTATACGATGGTGGGGTCAAAGCTTGGGATGGCTGATTGTGTATATTGTACATAAACTAATAGAAGAGTGAGAATATTGTACATTTTCTGTTTTCGAGTATGCGGATAGATTGTCAGCATGCTGGGACCAATCCGAAGAGGGAGAGAAAGAGAGCGCAAAAAGTGTGGTTTTCTTTTCTTTCTCAAAAGGAAGCTGAAATTGAAGCATTTTGATATCTATTGATTTGGGCCTTTATAAATCTTCTAGTGGACGAAGTGCTAATAGAGTGGGCGTGCGTCTGTTTGCCAAGGTAAAATAATCATTTTCACAAAATGGTTGTGCTCGAAGAACTTTTGAAATTTTGGTCTGTGGATTCTGGATGGCTAACTGAAGAAAGAAAGGGGGATCAAGAAGATTAATTTGGGGAAAAGAAAACTTCAATAAAACGATGAGTAGGGTCCTGTAACTAAGTTATTTAGCCAAAGCTAAGGACCTGCTTCGCGCTTAATTAAACTCTATGGATAGTGGAGGTGCTGATGCGAATGTTTTACTCTCCCCTCAAGTCCATTCATTAATTTTCTTTATCTTTTGTAATGGAGAAGTTTACTTCTATAAAAGCATCGAGGAATACAGCACTATCTTCTTCTAACTAATTAGAGATTTAGGACTTGTTTGGCAAATAACTGGAATTATGGTTTTGGAACCCAAACCATTATTTGGGTTAAAAATTTGTCAAACGAGGAGAAAAATTAACAAACCACAGTTTTGAAAATCAAAACCATGGTTGGTTTTGAGCTTGAAACTATGGTTTCAGAAGAAGTAAATTCATTGTGTTTCTAACTCAAATTAGAGAGTATGGTTGTGCCTGTCAGAATAGATCCTAACAGTAATATGATTTTAACACTGCATAATTATTTTTCTGTAAATATATTTAATCTTATATTTTATAAATATATATACACATATTAATTATTTATTAATTACATTATCTTATATATTATCAATTATGTTGGTAAAAATATGTTATTAATAATTTTATTCTTTCAATTTAAAATTTATCTTTTATGTAATTGTCATATTAACTTATATTTTTTTAAATAATTTGTACATATAAAAAGTGTTTCTGATAACAACTATCCAAACTCTCAATTTATCAAGATCACTTTTTTATAAAATTTATTCTTTCAAGAATTTATTCTCCAGAAGTTATTCTTCAACCTATGGTTTGGTTCCATCCAAACACCCCCTTAATTTGATTTTGAATATAAGACTTAAATTTACTTTATTTTCTCTATATAATTATTTTTTTCAAAACAGTTTTTATGATAATTATGCATGTGAAAGGTTTTTATTCTAATGTGTATGATTAACTGGAGTATTTTGATAAATGTAATATTAAGTTATTATAATAATCAACTTAACTAATTTAACTTATATAAAAACCTAATTATTTTTTATTACATTTTTATATTTTACGGATAATAAGGTGTTCTTAATCTGACTGGCGAGCATATTCCGTATCCGTTCACCAAAACTCCAAGACAGGTCTCGAACTTCAATGGTATTTACTATGAAGTCCCTTGGTCTGTCTTGTAATAAAAGCCAAAAATCAAGTCCATTTTACAGTTACTCACTCTAAACGAAACCCCTTCCCTTGGTGCTTGAAAACCCAATCCATTGTTACTCCGACAGTGAGAACCGAGCAAACACCATATCTATGGCTGGTCCTTCGCTTCTCCAGTCCTCAACGTCGTCGTTTCTGGGTCAATTCCGAGTGTTTCCGGCTCCGCTGTTCTCCGGACTTCTCTACAGAAATGGGAATGGAGGGGCTGTGGCGCCGGTGAAGGCCACAGCGGCGGGGTCCGGGGCTGTATTGGTGGAGAAGTCTGAGGCAGAGAAGCCCCGCCGGCTCAAAATAACATACAATGAGAAAATCGTGCCCTTGCTTATGGAAGAATTCAACTACACCAATATACACGAGGTTGCGTAATGTTCTTGCTTCTTTTTATTGGCTCATTAGAACGTTCGAATTTTGGGTTTCATGGGTTCCCACAGTGAAAATTATTATTGTTATTATTATTTTGATAAAAATTTCATGTGTTTTCTTTTGTTGATGTAAGATGATGGAGAAAATACGATGGAAGCATGGTAAGTTGATTTTCCACCAGTTTTAGGGAGTTTGGAGTTTCTATATTTCCCTCTCGGTTGTCTTCAATTTTAATAAAACCCTTGGAACTCTGGGCTTCGTGGATCTTAAGCGCGAAAATTATAATTTTTCCTACTTTGAATTTTAGGGGGTTTTATAGCTTGATACAAGACAATGGGGAAAATGAGGTGACAAGGAAGCATTATCTTCACTTCTTAAAATTTAGGGGCTTTATTTTTTCCTTTCAGGTCCCTAAAATTGAGAAGGTCGTGGTTAATTGCGGAATAGGAGATGCCGCGCAGAATGCGAAGGGTTTGGAGGCAGCAATCAATGATCTAGCACTCATCACAGGGCAGAGGCCTGTCAAGACACGAGCGAGGGCCTCACTTGCCACCTTCAAGATCAGGGAAGGTCAACCCCTTGGGATTGCTGTGACACTCAGAGGAAAAGTAAGGATGTACTATTCGATAGATATTGCTGTGTGTGTTATTCATTTGTCATCTGAACATATTGCCTGTGCATGACATAAATTGGCCTATGAGAAGTTGATATTTTAAACAAAGTGGAGAGGCTATTTGGTAGGTTTAGGATATATTTGGATGGATGGCATAGGATGGAAAGAAGTGGCCCAAGTGAGCTAGGTCATTTTTTGGGAGTTTGTTTTGGGATGGAGTGGAATGGACACTCATTGCTATCCAAAACTCTGATTTTCGTGTCTCTCTAAATGATGGGTCAAGGATGAAATGGAATGGGCTGATAGTAAAATTAACATCTTTTTCCCGGCCAATAACTTGCTAGGCACACATTCTAAGGTAAATATTGAAAGATAATTTATTAGCCATTTTATTCCATGAACGACACCTCTCCTATCTCATCAAACTCTCAAGCAATAGAATGAATTGTCTTTTTTTTGGGGGGGGAAATCACTCTTATGTGATCCAAAGGGAGAAGTGTAATTATCAAAAGGTCTCATAACAAGTAAATGACAAGTTGCAGTGCAAAAAATGACAGTAAGATCCATGCTGCTCATGTGTCATCAGGACTTCTTGATAATTATATTCTTTTCTTGGGATCTCACAGTGATTCCCTCATTTTTCCTCTTGCTCCATTATCTCATGACTCCCTAACAGACTATAGAAGATGGTCATATCAAGCCAGTTGTGAATAAAACATATCAGGGGTGGATTTGCATGCATGTTTATTTGTGAAAGTTTTGGTCTATCTATCTTTCTGAAGTGTCTTTCCTCTGGCATCAAAAAAAAAAAAAGAGTGGCTTTCCTTAAGAATTTTTCAACAAGGTGGTTAGCATGAAAGTGGCTTATAACGTGGAGTTGGCAGCAAAATAGTGTGGTTTAGTAGGAAAATAAATGCCTTAGCACAAGCCTTTTAGGAACTTCAAATAGATGTTTGATCAAAGCTTGGTTATTGCCTGGAGAAAGAAGGCATGAATGTGGAACATGTGGCTGCCGTTTTTCAATGAATTTTGTTACTTGTTGCATCTTCGTGTTGTGTGTAAGCTTATTGATGTCTCTTGGGAAGAAGAGACGAATGGAGAATGAGTCATATAATACACTTGATGGAGGTGACATGATTATGGATGTACTTGATGATACCTTATTTATGGAATATCCATTAGATTTGTGAAGAAATTAGTTGTGGACATTGATAATGGATTCATGGTCATGCGCGTAGAACCCATATGGTTGAATAATCTGAGGAATACTAGATTCCATATTTGAATTGTGCTCTCAAAAAGGGTTAGGAATATGTTGTTATAGTTGCTATCGGGGTTTGGAATGTATGCCTTGCTGTTGCAAGTTTGTGGGCTATGTTTCCTCTAATGAAGCGTATCTTTGAATGCTTGTTTTTGCGGGCTTTTCTGAACAAGCAATTTATAGATTTCATTGTCTGGGGCTTGTTTGTGTCAAAATTTGTATTGTTGAATGGTCATTTCTTGTGTTTACGATATCTGTTTTCTCACCAACAATTGTGCTGAAAGATTGGTTTTACATTGAATACCGAACTTCACATGAGTTAACATTTCAGAGTTCTGCTCCTGCATGCTTTTATCCTAAAGTGTCAGAGCAACATGGCTTAATCCAAAACTAGGAGTTTGATATCATTTGTTTTCAACAGTTGATGTACTCATTCCTGGACCGACTTGTCAACTTGGGGCTTCCCAGGACAAGGGATTTCCAGGGTGTTAACCCCAACAGTTTTGATGGACACGGGAATTTCAGTATTGGCGTCAAGGACCAGAGTGTGTTCCCAGAAATCAGGTCCGATATTGTCGGTACGCCCAGAGGAATGGACGTATGTATAGCAACAACGGCGAAAACTGATCAAGAGGCAAGCAGATTGCTGGCTCTTATGGGCATGCCATTCAGAGAGGGAGGTGGTCCTGTTACAACAATTCGCAAAAAGAAGCTCAAGTCTCACCATTTTGACTCAAAATCAAAGGGAAGAGGAAGGAGGTGAAGTTTTGTAAATGAGATTGTAGCAAATCGCCGTATCCTTATTTTGTAGCACTATTAATTATTCATTTTGTGATCAACAATTTGTTATTTTAAGTGTTACATTATGGTTGTGTTTGCTAACTGATCAAAGAAGTGCTTTTAAAATAGTCTAAGATGGAACGAATCAGATTTATCAGAAAAATAAAAGTGGAATCTTGTTTGGTCATGGTTCTTTCCTCCTAGGCATGCACGAGAATTCTTATGCACAATTACTAGAATAGAATGCTGCCCTTATGCATTGCATTTTCAGAAGTTCATAGTAATTTATACCAAGCGTCTGAAAATGCCATACCTTTTATCTATGCGAAATTTTTGAGCATATATGAATCTTCATGCGCACGATTATTATATTAACTTTGGCATTAATAATATTAAAGCAATGATATATCACCTTCGATTCTAATTATAAGAGCCAGTTGACTAAATTAAGGAGATTAAGGAAGTAAGTTGAGTTAGTTATTTGTCCTGAATAGGTGTTGTCTTTCCTAAAATATCCTTGCTAATCAATTCTATCAACTAAAACTATAATTATTAGAACGATTATTTTGGAAAAAATTGAGTAAATATGAGAGACAAAGTAGATTGGAGTCTTATATTTAGGATTAAAATAAAAGTCAAACAGGATCTTATATTAAGGACCGGAGGTAGTATAGTTTAGTTATGGTCCACTTTTTAAATTTTATGTATATCTTTTCTATTAAAAAAAATTCATAGCGTTATAATTATTGAATATGAGATCTTAAGATGAAGTGATGATATTTTTAGTTCAAGATTTCACGAGACCATATAGTGCGAGGTGGAACCGTGGGAGTGTTGCAATTGCAGAGGAAGGTGTTTGCCTTCGGGAACAAGCTAAGCTACGTCAGGGGATGCAACGTGGTGAAATGGGACAATCACATTGCCAAGTCATTTATCCTCCTCCTTCAAATTTCAGAAATTATCAATGATAAAGGACAACATAAGAAACATCCAAATGAGGAAAGGTTAACATTTTTATCAAGACACAAGTTTTGTTTAATTTGAAAATATAAATAAAACTGTACTCCAAAATGTCTCTAATTTTGTAAATTTTATAATCTATACAAGTACCATAAGAGAGCACAGTATATCATGATTATTTATTTTACTTCAAATTCATAACACTTATACGTACAACATCTTAAAATTTAAGACCTCATGATCATTGATGTATAACCTTTTTTTTTTTTTTGCCAACTGATATATAACCTTTTGTTATCAATTAAAAAATATAAAATATTGATGTATAATCTACCTTAATATTCACGTTTTATGAACAGCCAGTATACAATTTAAAATTTAGTTTTAAGAAATTTCTGATTGAAAAATCCATACACCTTATGGTCATTAATAATATATTTCGTCTTCCCATCAAATCGTAAAACATAAATTAACAACCACCCATGCTAATTATAATAATAAGGAATAACATAGTAACTCTCTATAATTATCACAAACATTTATTGATCTTATTTGCATTTAAAATTACTATCAACTCTTAAAAAACTGTATTACTATTGTGATCAGTAAGCACTTTTTGATATTCAACTAATCTAGCAGTAATAAAGTTAAACATCGAAAGGTGTTTGTGAACACTAACAAAACTCAGATGTTGGATAAGGAAATGCAAAATTTTAAGAAATTTTAAATTTTAAAGTTATTACTCCTTCGGTCCTTAATATAAGACTTATTTAACTAATTTGATTATATTAAAAAAGTTAGATAAGTTAGTTAATTATAAAAAATATGACATATTTTTCTTAAAACATCATAACCATCTTTTTTACTATTTTCTTTTCTTTTTCTATTTGATTATGGTTAAGAGAGTATCTATCTATAGAGATAATTTAGGAAAAATTAATAGATATAAGAAATAGGTCTTATATTTAGGACGAAAATTAACTCAACAATTAAGTTTTATACTACCTCCGGTCCTAATTATAAGACCCAGTTGATTAATTTGAGGAGATTAAGGAAATAAGATAAGTTAGTTATTTGTAATAAATAAGTGTTGTCATTCCTAAAATATCCTTGCTAATTAAGTGTGTTAGTTAGAACTATCATTATTAGAATGACTATCTTAGGAAAAAATGCATAAATATGAGAGACAAAATGGATTGGGATCTTATAATTAGAACCAAACTAAAAGTCAAACAGGGTCTTATATTAAAGACCGGACGTAGTATTAAAAAGTCGAAAAGTAGTATATATAGCAAATAATATCATAAATATATCAAGGTAAAAATATTTTTATTAATAAATAACCTCTTGTTGATAAAGTAAAAAGGTCATTTCCGATTCTATCATCAAGATATAAGCCCTAAACGCTTAACCGGGCGAGGCTTCCCTCTCCATTCGTCCTACCTCCCTGTTCGTTTCTTGCTGTGGACTGCAGCGACCGACTGAATTAATCATGGCGTTTCCGTACATGGAAGCTGTTGTCGGTGAGCTATTCATTCCTTCTGTAATGGTGTTATGGTTATTGTTGCCTCGCTTCCCTTGTCATCTCAGATGCAAGATGAAATCATTTCATTGAACTCCTGGTTGCTGGGTTATCTTTGCGTCTTGCTTGCTTTCTTTAGATTCTTCATGCTTTTATTTATTTCTCAGGATTCTTTTTTGAGGATATTTTGGATGGAGTTTTGGTTTTCAATCGTCTATAGTGGCCTTTGAATTCAGGGTATCGTTAATTTAGGGCTTCTTTCGATAGTCTTAGCGACCATTTTCACTATATCAATAATTTGCATTTTCCTTCATTGCACTACTGAGAAATATGCATTCGTCGTTTTCTGTACGCGGAAACTTTTGTTTGCTGACTGCTGCAAGGGAGAGTAGATTATGTTTTTCAAGTGTTTTTTTTTTTTTAACGTTTTCTTTTCCTAAAACGTAGCTTGAGTTTGTGCAGTCTAAAAGGTCACGCTACTATTTGAGTTGGGGCTCTGTGGTTAGTTGTGAACAAATAGAAGTAATAATCCGAATTCCAATTTGGCATTTTTTTAAAGAAAAGGAAGTCAAGAAGATTGCATTATTTGAAAGCAGTAGGAACCGAGTTCCTAAAAGACCTAATGGTGGCTGGTTTGCTTCAAAGGACTGTCATTTAAGCATTTACTGATGGTAGTTAGAACAACTCCATAAGCGTGCCATTGATGGTTAGAAGTAAAACACATTTATTAGCTTCTTATATTGCTACATATCAATTTTATTTTAGCAACTTTTGATCAGTAATGGCAATGATAAACTGAGTATTGAGGGGCATGTTAATGGGTTCGGAGCAATTTCTTGTTATATGGTACAAAGGTTCTCGCCAAACAAAGAATGGTAGAGCTTGTGGCTAGAGCAGAATGCTTGTATCTTCGGGGGTGTTTCCTTTTCTTAGAAAGTAAGGGTTCTAATAAGCAATACCAACCAAGCATCAAAGTGCACTAAAACGAACCAGGCATGGGGGCAGAGGGTCTGTGGTTGAGAGATCATCACTTTCCCGGGAGAGCGGGGTGAACAGATTCTTGAAATGAGAGCTGAAGTGCTTTCACGTGAGTGCAAGTGGACTTCCCATTGCTATTATAAACTAAAAGAAAGGGGTTGTTCTCCTAACTAAGATTCAATTCCTTTCCTAGCCGGATATGGAATCACGAAAACGCTATTGGGAATCTCATCCGCGAATTGCAGAACGAGCAGCATAGTTAATCAAATCTGGCTTACTGTGCATGGTTAATCCTAATCAAACGTCATCAAACATAATCAACTGTTAATCAATCCAAATGAGCATCATATTCAACAAACCCTGTCCCATTCATAGAAATTTGTTAGTCCATAGCTTCCTAACATTTATCTAGCGTTACCTATCTCTTATCTTCTTCAATTACGTCATCTTAAGGTTATGATTGACTTCCTAATCGTTGTAAATTATACATAGGATTTTTGTCATTATGATATTTCACTCACTTTCTGTTTTTCTCTGTTCTCTCATTAGGGTTTATGGTATTAATGTACATATTTGAAACTTACTTGGATGTGCGACAACATGCGGCTCTCAAACTGCCTACTCTTCCAAATACTTTGAAAGGAGTAATCAGCCAGGAGAAATTTGAGAAATCTAGAGCCTATAGTCTTGATAAAAGGTTTGTTTATTCTAATTCATATTGAGCCTGTGTTTGACATGTTTCGACTTGGATGCTTGCAAGCAGAGGTCTTATATGCGGATTTTTCTTTACTTTCAGCCACTTTCGTTTTGTTCATGAGTTTGTGACTATATTGATGGACTGTGCGATTTTGTTATGTGGCATCTTGCCCTGGTTTTGGAAGGTAAGAATTCGGCTCAGCAAACATGAATACAGCAACTTCAAATTTAATATCACCATTTAATTTTCTTTTCATTATTGTAGAAATCAGGAGACTTTGCGGTATTAGTTGGTCTCAATGCTGAAAATGAGATACTACATACCCTTGCCTTTTTAGCTGGTGTCATGGTCTGGTCACAGGTATGGTTATCATGTCTCCTTGGAAACGTAGCATTGAGTGATTTCTTTCTTTGCATGTTTTCGTACAGGTAGTCCAGTTTCACTGGTCCGCTTCATTAGAAAAAGTGGGGTTCTTATACTTTTCACTAGATTGTTTTTTGAAAATTTGTTCATGTATATGTGTTAATATCACGTTGAAGTCATTTGTCATTTTGATATATTTTAATTTTAATAAAGTTAATTGTAGGCTTCTTCCTTTCATGCAGATAACTGATTTGCCTTTTTCACTGTACTCAACTTTTGTGATTGAGGCACGACATGGTTTCAATAAGGTTCATATCTGTCCTTCTATCATCTATCTTGTATATTACTTATTGTGCCCATATGTGTAGGCATCGACTTTTGAATTTGGTTTAAAAAATCTTATTATGCGAACAATATTATGAGTCTGTGTGATATAAAATTCTTAACTTCTGATATTTTCCATCTTTGTCATCTCTTGCACAGCAAACATTAGCATTATTCTTTAGGGACATGTTGAAAGGAGTCTGCCTTTCTGTTATAATTGGCCCACCTATAGTGGCTGCAATCATTGTCATCGTGCAGGTAAGATCCCATGCTTTTATATAATCAGCAACTACTTGCAATCTTTGCTTCAAATTTGATGTACTTTTCTTGGCTGGTTGTGGATTTGTAGTTCCATGTGATATACTGCTTTCATGTTTTATGTTGCTATAATCAAAGCACACGCTATTGTGGTGCTCTAGATTTTCCTTTTAATGCCTTTTAATGTTTATATGAATTGTTGCAGAAAGGAGGTCCTTACCTTGCCATCTATCTCTGGGCGTTTATGTTTGTTCTTTCTATTGTAATGATGACTCTTTATCCAGTTCTTATTGCCCCTCTCTTCAATAAGTTCACCCCTGTGAGTAGTTTAAACCTTTCTTGTGAAATACTATTGGGGAATGTACTTCCCTTTGTTGGCCAAAAGAAAGTATATTGTTCTCGCTAATCCTTTCCCTGGCCTTGTTCTGGCAAACAGCTTCCAGAAGGTACTCTCAAGGAGGAAATTGAGAAACTTGCTCTCTCCCTCAAGTTTCCATTAAAGAAGTTATTTGTTGTTGATGGATCCAAAAGGTCAAGCCACAGCAATGTGAGAATACAACAGAAAATCAAATTCAGTTTTCCTTGATGCTAGATGCATACATGATGGCTTGGATTTCCTTAAATTTTATAATTAGTATTCCTGTTCATTATGCTATTTTTTGTTGGCTTCTCTTAGTTAGCTTAGACTGAAGAAATTTATCTAAACATATGTTGCAGGCTTATATGTATGGATTCTTCAAGAACAAGCGAATTGTACTTTATGACACATTGGTTCAGCAGGTTTAGATCTACTAACTGGAATTTACGTTATATTTTGATTTTAATTTTTTATGCTATTTGTTGACTCTTAGAAGGGCTTGTTTCTGTAAATTTCTTTCCATTCATAAAACCTGAAGCTGCTACTGGTCTTCAAATGCGAAGGCTATGGTGAAAGTTTCAATGTTGTATGGAAAAAGTACGTCATACCTGTATATGCATTGGCTGGTTAGCATGTCCATAATTTGTTGTTTAAGAATAATGAAATTTTGGTGGCTTGTTAGGGTGTGCATGCCCCTTTTTTTTTTTTTCTTCTTTTTCTTTCTTTCTTTTTTTATTTGGGGGGGGGGGGGTGTTTCCTACATGTATTGGGGTTTTTGTTCTCATGTTTAAATAATCTTCAGCATCTTGTCAAGCTATTGAATTTGATGAAATCTCAACCGCTAAAGGCTTTTTTTTTTTTTGGGCATATAGTGCAGCTCCTGTGAAATTGATTGTGGCAATAAATAAATAAATAATCACTAATTCTTGCACTCATTATTGAGTTCATGGGATTTTACATTATTAAATAAATCATGTTTTTCAGTGCAAAGAGGATGAGGAAATTGTCGCTGTTATTGCCCATGAACTGGGGCATTGGAAGCTCAACCACACTGTGTACTCATTTGTTGCTGTGCAGGTTTGTGCAATAGCGTTTGTCAATAAAAAGCAATAGTTTAAAACACGAACACTTCACCCTCATAAACCATCACAAAATGTGAAAACATTACATTTTCTTGAAAAATCACATGATAACTCCGGTGTGGAGTAGATTTGTGAAGATGGTGGAGACATAAGGTATCATGTGATAATCAAATTTATGATATACAAGATATTATATACAAGTCTATTATGTTGTCTCTGTCTTGTCTCTCTCACTCTTGCATTGGTTTCAGATGTAAACTATTGTCTTTTTAGACTGTAAATTTAACAGTTGCCTTCTGCTTACTTTGAAATGTTAGTAACCTATTGATGCTTTCCTAACGTAATATTTTGATGTGGTGAAGATTCTTACTCTATTGCAATTTGGAGGGTATACTCTTGTGAGAAACTCAACTGACTTATTTCGAAGTTTCGGGTTTGATACACAACCAGTCCTTATTGGACTTATTATATTTCAGGTACTTTAGTATAGTTGTGAAAAATGTCATGTAACATTGTTATTTGCCTGTTGCATGCGTGATTCTAACATACTGATATTTCCCCCCATAGATGACTTGTTTATTAATTCACTCCATAAACTTGACATGCTTCATATTTGAATGCTTGATTTACTTAGATTTGGGTTCATTTTCCCCTATTCTATCAATGATGAAAATCATTCCCCTCCTCCTCCTCCTCCTCCTCCTTTAGCTTATTTGCTTGTATGACATTGGCATGATCTAGTGATGATCCCCTTTTAGCACACCAAAGAGCAAGAGATGTCTCAATTTAATAATCTTACACCTGAATATGGCTATTGGGAAGGGATACCATCTAGTGCGTTTTTCACATCCCGGTTGCATAGTCCTAGGGTGTGTTGTGTAATTTGTGTCAAGGGTGGGGCAAACAAGGAACTCTGCTAGGACCTTAGAGACAGATTTAATTAGGAAATGTGTTTCAGGATTGTGCATTGTGGAGCGTGTTAGGACACTGATCTCTAAAAGTCATCCAGCCTTACTCAATGCTTTCTGCTTCCTCCCGATGATCCTTCTACATTTACACGACCCTTGCTATGGAGTATTTTAAGTAGTTTGACTTGAGATGCTTAATCTTTATCCTGGATGTCTTTGCAGCATACTGTAATTCCTCTGCAGCACTTAGTCAGCTTTGGTCTGAATCTTGTGAGTCGATCATTTGAGTTCCAGGTAAGTTGCTTTACTACAGTTTTAGCGTGAGTTTGTCTCTTCCTTTTATTTATGCATATCATCCTATGTAGGCCGATTATTTTGCTAAGAAGCTTGGATATGCATCTGCATTACGATCCGGTCTTGTGAAATTACAGGTGACCTCTTGGGTTCTGTGCTCTCTCTCAAAATTTGACTAATGATTAGATTATGTATGAGACGTGATTAATTTGAGACAACACAACGCGCAAATTTTAAATGTTATATCCAAACTTTTTATAAATATTTTTCAGTCCTGTTTGGTTGGCTGTATATCCTTTTTTAACTTGACCGTTGTTCAGGAGGAGAATCTCTCAGCCATGAATACAGATCCTTGGTACTCTGCTTATCACTACTCTCATCCTCCCCTTGTTGAAAGATTGGCGGCACTTGACAAATCCGACAAGAAGGCAGATTGAGGGTAGCACTCTATTAGGATGAAGAGCGGCGAAAATCCATTGTTGTGTAACTATGGTTTAGAAAATGAGATAGCTAGAGCGAAAGGGAATAGGAATCATAACAGGACTTAAATCCTCTTGTATGTCTAAATGCCATTTTCACCGTTTATGAATCTTGCCGAATTTTTTTTTTGCATATGCCACATAAAACTTCCAGATACGGATTTCGTGGAGCTGTTCTAGTTATAGCTAACGTGTGGTGGACGTCCTATGAAAATATGACGAGAGTTGGTTTGGACTTTGGATCGCTGACAAGTTTGCATGTAGGTTTGTGTAGGTGGCCAACTGATAGCAAGAGTAGAAGGGAGTCGTTCTGCTTCTCCCCAATATGCTTTCATGCGCCCTATGGGTCATCCAATTTCGAAAGAAACACGAGCAGCGGCTATTTTGCTGGTCGAATTCTCGGTCGGTTCTAAATCAGTCCTAAAGTTTAATTAACAGTTCTTTACGAGATTATTATGGGGGATGAGTGACTGAGATGCTTGAATCTACTCTGTATCACAACCCTTATTTTCCTTTCAAAATATGTGCGAGTTCGGAATTAATTCATAGTCAAACGTGCTTGGACAAGTACTAGGATGGATAATACCTCGAAAATTTACCTTTTAAATTGTATATAATTGATACAAAACATTTAGTTTACAGTTCACTTGTTTGATTATATTTTTATAATTTTTTTGGTAACTACATTTTTATAATTTTATTGCCCTTAAAAAGTTGAGATGACGTCTATCTGAAATGGGTAAGGGGTTGCGAAGAAAACACTCATAAAAATGAATCTTTCTTTTGATAAAAATATCCCATCTTAGGTTTTTTTTTTTTTTTGTGCCAACACATCTTTGTTAGTATTTAAAATCGAGTGCCAGGGTTTTAAAACTTTTATCCTATAATTTATTCTGCCCACAACTTTTGTCCCGTACTAAACATAAGAGAAGGGGGAGCGTAATATGGTCAACTTTCAAAGCCACTAAAATTAAATGGTGGCAGAAAAAACAATTTGTTGTGTAGATAAAATATTAAGACAACTGGAGTGATTAACGAGGGTTTAATTGCTTCAAATCCCGGGGCGGTGCCCACGGGGTAATTGTCTAATTTCAAGATTAGGACAGGTTAGGGGGGGAAAAAATTAACCAACAGAAATTCAGTAAGAAAGGCCAGCTGCTGCTGGACAAACAACAAACAAAAATCCGTCTTTATAATTACTCTTCTAATTCTATTTATAAAGTATTTTCAGTATATTTTATACAGATAAACAAAATTTAAAATTATATTAGTTTTTATAACAAATTTTTAATTTTATCCCTATTTAATATATATCTTTTTTTAAAAAAAATACATATACTATAATAAATGAAGAATAAAATAACATACTTATGTTAAAAATTTAATAAAATAACTTATAAATAAGATTAAAAATTTCCTCGTCTTATAAGAGCAAAGGAGGATACGCGTAAATATAAAACCAATCAATCAATCAATCAATTAATTAATTATGCCGTCTTTGTGCCTTTGATCTTTCTTTATCAGGGCTTTCGGCTTTCCTCCAGTTGTGCTTTTGCGAAGACATTTTTTCGGAAACTTTATTGAGAGCCATCAAAGTCATAACACACCAAAAGTTAACAAGGTTAAGTAATTGATGAAAGAGAAATGAAAGGGGGTTGGTACAAATCCGCAATGAAATGATGTGAGATATATTGGTGAAGCGGACAAAGAAATTGGTTAGGCACAAGTTATGAGGTAACAAAGCTCTGTTTCAATTAATTATGGTGCTGCTTCCACACAAGGCACCCAATATCAACATGCTCCGTTCTTCTTCCCATACCCCATCCTTTCCCCATCTATTTAGTTTTAACATGTTTCATCAGCCAGTGAGTTTTTTAATGTCGTTCCTATTAAATATACCTACTTTAAAAATTATTTATCTGCTCTAAAGCAGAGATAAAGTTTATTTCTTTTAATTTTATTTATAAATCATGTCATTAAATTTTCTTATATGAATGTATAATTTTTAACATTAGTTTATTATTATGTAAATTGTTGTTTTATTAAAAAATATAGATTTAAATAGGGATAAAATTAAAAAAATTATTAGATTTTAAGACAGAGATAGTGATGTTTAATATCTTTCTTGATTCTAATTAAGTATGCTGGACTAAAAAAGTAAATAACATATACAGACACTTAGCTACAGGAAAAATTAATGATAACAAAGTTAACGGCATGCCTTATAATAAGGGTCAAAAATAAGTTTTTTTTTCTTATTGTGTTATCAATAGGTTCAGAATAGCATCACGAAACCTCTCACTAATTCAGCAAAAAATTAGTATGAAAGAAGAAAATTAAAAGAAGATAGTTGATGATCTTTTATAAGGAGCATTAACTTGTTCTAAAACGAGCATCGGAGGAAATACATAGCAATATAATTTAGGATATTTTTCATGAGAGTATCGAATTAATTAATCATGAATGGTTCCAGTTGTGTCTTTCATTTTGTTACGGGAAACGCTTCGGAGTATATTTATATAGGTGAGGTAGGCAAGTGGCAATCCTTGAGAATTTTTTTCTTTGGGGTTGTTGGTTAATAACATTTATTATATTCAACAATTCATAAAATACAAAAGGGATCCGAAGAGTACTAAAATAGACTTTTTTTTTTATTTTTAAATTGATCAAATCAATAAAAGATACGAGGAAGAGACCTCCCATCCCAGGACCCAAGCAGTGACTTGATTGAGAGGTCCGGGCAGCGATTCCATGAAAAGAAAGAGAGAACAATAATAACAGAAAACCCTACACAAGAGAAGGAAAAACCATTCTATGAATCAAATCACAATCCTATAAGGTTCTGTTTGGAACAACTTATAAATAGTTTATTAACTACTTTTTAATAGTGATTTACGGAATACGAAGCAAATATAGAAAATGAGTTTTGTCTCGGTTTAAGTGAAACGTGCTTATAGAAAATTTTCACTGTTATGTCAAACGGGGCCTAATTAACTTATAAATGATAAGCCCAATAATAATAATTACACTAAGCTTTCAATAGTAGAACACCTGTGTTTAACAAACAAAATTATAACACCAAAAATGTCACAAGTGTTTTTATTAAATTCTGTAAAGAGTCTTGTATCAAGATTAATGATATAAATGGGAATGGAGGAAGTATTTATTAAAATTGATGCCTTAATGTGAGCATCATCAATCATATGTCGCCACAATCAAACATAAAAGAATAGAAACAACCTTTGATTGGTATGGTTAAAAGGGAAGGATACAAGAATGTTTTTGACAATATGTCAGTAATATTTTATTAAATAATGTACAAGATATTATATTAAGGACTAATAAATAGAGGCTTATAGTTTTCTTCAAAATTGATCCGGTTGATTTAAGGCTCATCGATCCTACATTGGCATAATCAAATATGAAAGATTAGGAATTTAAGATTTTCAAAACAATAAGCTGGCAGCCAGCCTAACTACCACCCTATTTCTGAAATACATACATATTTAGCCATCAAAATCAATGGTAGCTTTATATATTTGTTGCCAAAGCCTACATCTATATTAGTTGGCCCTAAAAGTAATGCAACCGAAAGCATTACCAAAACCTTTTCATTAATCCACCATGTATGAAGTGACTAAAGCCAGGAATCAAATTTTACAAGATGCCTTGGCGTGTGTTGAGCTTGATTGTGTCAAATATATTAATAAAGCATACTTTAATTAAAAGGCGTTCCAAAAAAATACTTTAACTAAAGGGGCACTAAAATTTGAGACACATTGAAATTGTCAAAGGCAAAATTTATTTTACCATTTTAAATCATCAACATTAGTTAAAAAATCATCAAATTTTGTTCAATATGATTGTTGTAAAATATTTTTTATTTTATACTTCTATTTACGAACTTGCAAATAAATCGATGAATTTGTGTTTACTAATCCAATCATTGATTTCAATAAAAAATAATAATTTTCCAAAGTTTTCCTTTCCCCACAAATTCTGGACATGATTAAATTGAATGATTTTAGTCAAGAAAATATAACAGAGACAGAAGATTACGTCACTGACAGAGCAGCGCTGGCATTCTCACTCTTATCTCTGCTTGGTGCGCTAGCCTGTCCACTCTCTTCTGAGCTTGCATTGTGCTGCGTTGTGTTCCTTCCTTTCTTACACACACCCTCTGTCTCACTCCTGTTTCTCTCTCTATCCCTCGTTTACTTCTCACTTCTCTCCTTCTTCTTCTCATTCAAAATTTCAACATCTGTCTCTCTCTGATTCTTTCCAACTCTCTCCCCCCTGCATCACCCATGAGAGCTGTGATCATCATCCCCACAAAGCTTTTTTCTTTTAAGATTCTTCTGGCAGAAGAAATGCGGCCCAAATTCTAGAACCTCCGCGACGTGTGTCGCAGCAGCAACAATGTCAGTCTACGATGCAGCTTTCGTGGATACAGAGCTCTCCAAGAAGACCTCAATCTTTGGTCTCCGACTATGGGTTGTGATCGGAATCCTCGTCGGTTCTATTATTGTCCTCACTCTCTTCCTGCTGTCGCTCTGCCTCACCTCTCGCCGCCAAAGACGTCAACAAAACCCTCAAGCCAACAAAACCCCTGTCGTTTCGAAGGAAATCCAAGAGATCGTGCACCCGCCGGCACCCAATCAGCATACGGTCCCCGAGATCCAAGTGGATTTCGGGAAAGCGGAGCACCGGGTTGTGGTTTTCTCCGATCGGCTCTCTAGTGGAGAGAGCAAGGGAGGTGCCACCAGTGCGTGTGAAACAACGTCCTCTTTTGGGAGTGGGAGTATTGGACCTGAGGTTTCGCATCTTGGTTGGGGGAGATGGTACACCTTAAGGGAGCTGGAGGCTGCAACTAACAATCTGTGTGAAGAGAATGTTATTGGGGAAGGTGGCTACGGAATCGTTTACCATGGAGTGCTTGGTGATGGTACCAGAGTTGCAGTGAAGAACCTTTTGAATAATAAGTATGTGATTTTTTTTTTTTGGCTTCTGTCCCATCATTACATTGTATATGATATTAACCGCAAAATTTAATTCCTGAAAAATACACTCCTACCATTAGTGAACAAACTCAACATGGTTACATGCTTGTGTAACGCTTCAAAACTGAGCGGCTGATTCATATGTATTTTCCATAAATTTGTTGAATTTGACATGGCTGTGATACTACTGTATTCCTTTATAAGTATTTCTTCTGCTTAACTTTAGAACAGAATAATCATATTGCCATTCTCCAATTCTCATCATAGTGTTCAAACAATTATTTTGTTGATGATGCTTACAGTTCTAGTGAAGGTTCACCTCGTCTTGGTCTTATATCTGTCTCTCAGAAATATTCACATTTTAACTCATTTTCAGGGGTCAAGCTGAGAAAGAGTTTAAAGTAGAGGTAGAAGCAATTGGTCGTGTGCGCCACAAGAATCTTGTTAGGTTGCTTGGCTACTGTGTTGAGGGGGCATACAGGTTATAACATCTTTCTTAATGTCCCAAACTACACATGTTGTTCTGTTTCCGAGGGATGCAAGATGTATGATGTGGTATTGTTTTGCAGGATGCTTGTGTATGAGTATGTTGATAATGGCAATTTGGAACAGTGGCTTCATGGGGATGTTGGAACTGTCAGCCCTTTGACATGGGATATCCGCATGAACATTATATTGGGAACTGCGAAGGGGTACCTTATTAATGATCTAATCAGCATAAAAAGGTCTCCATGTTGATAATTCATGAATATTTATGCGTTTTGGTCTGTCCTTTCAGATTGGCCTATCTTCATGAGGGTCTTGAACCAAAGGTTGTCCACCGAGATGTGAAATCTAGCAACATACTCCTTAATCGGCAATGGAACCCCAAGGTTTCAGATTTTGGACTTGCTAAACTCTTGTGTTCTGAGCGGAGTTATGTCACCACTCGAGTAATGGGGACATTTGGGTTAGTATGATTCTGTAATATTTAATTCAGTTCTTTTATAACCAGAATATGTGAGTTTTCAATATTACTCAAGATCTAAAGGTCCAAAGATGCTGATTCTCTACTTTTTTTTAATTTCATAGTTATGTTGCTCCAGAATATGCATGCACTGGCATGTTGACTGAGAAGAGCGATGTTTATAGTTTTGGAATACTTATCATGGAGATAATTACTGGGAGAAGTCCTGTTGATTATAGTAGACCACAAGGAGAGGTTAGGGACCATTGCCGACAAGAATAAGCTGTTTAGAGATTATTTCTGACACCAATGGCTCTATGTTGTTCACTTTTCTTTTTTCACTACTGTGATAATTGCAGGTAAATCTGGTAGAGTGGTTGAAAGCAATGGTTGGGAATCGAAAATCTGAGGAAGTAGTTGATCCTAAGCTCCCTGAGATGCCGTCTTCAAAGGCTCTTAAGCGTGCTTTGTTGGTTGCTCTTCGATGTGTTGATCCTGATGCAACAAAAAGGCCTAAAATGGGGCATGTGATCCATATGTTTGAGGCAGACGACCTTTTGTTTCGTGATGTGTGTTCTTTTCCTTCCTTTATAACTCAACGTTGTATTTGACTGGACCAAGGTCAAGATGATTCAACATTGCATGAATTCTCACCTCATTCTCTTATTTTATCTCTGTGTAGGAACGCCGGATTGGAGGAGAATCTTCCAGCTCCCATCGTGATTTGATACGAGAGCGTAAGGACTCAAATTCTGATAAAAACCTTGTAGGCAGAGGTACTGCTAATCAACCTCAAGATGATTATAGTAGGAATCAGCATCAACCCAATAGGTGGAGATAATAATGAGATATTCAAGTGGTTAGCAATTTCATTCCCCCCCGTCCCCCCCAACGCACAGATTTTGCGCCCTTGATGGGTTTTTGATATCCATGTGAAGGAAAATAACCTGCTTCTGTTTTTTTTTTTTTTAAATAATTTTTTTTGGTTATACATGTATTCCCCCACTGGCTTTAGCCATGATAACTCGGGAATCATTTGTATATTATGATTCTTATTCCTATAAAAAAAATCAAAGTTATGGATGTCTTTCTGTCCACTAGACAAAGCTGGATAAGCATCACATAATGTAGGCATTGCATTCTAGGTGCTCATAATTTAAAACCAGCTGCTTTTGGCTCCTGCGCTTTTTGTTTTAGCATGGGATGCTGGTCCCATCTTCAAGATGGACTTCTTAGCATTTTGCGAGTGTTATTGGTGGCCCCATTTAGATGCTCATGTGCACTGGACCTACCATCCAGCTACTTCGGTAGAAGCATTTAGATTGCATCAACATCATTGCCGGCTTAACAGTTTGGATGCCTGCGGAAAACAGGTATACTGTTTAGCCAATTAATAGCAACTGCATCTGTAACTCTTAGTAAATACAACATAAATTTCCTAGTTGGAGTGGGAAAAATTTAGGTGGAGTTGGTTTTTGGAAGACTGCTGAATCAAGGAAATAATAGACACATGATCATGGCAGGTTCACTTTTAAGTGAGACTTCTGATATGTTTGCAAATCTATTTACGATGAACCCAAGTTAATTAGATTTATCATTGCTTGGTCTGTGAACAATAGGTAAACCAAGTTTGGTATGAATAATCATACTTGAATCCATCTTTATCAGACAAATGGAATTTATCAATATTTCTCGTTGTCCCAGCAGGCTGGGAAAGCAAGGAAATTGATAATGCATTCAGGTTTCACTATCGATGCCAGTACGTACAACTTTGTCTTCTAGCTCAATAAATGGTACTGATTGCGAATTGACTTGCAATGTACTTTGGAAACACCCTTTTTATTGGTTTTTTTTCCCCTTTCTTTTTTTGCCCGACCTTTTTCATTAATTAATGGTTCCTCATGATTTTAACTGAAAGAAAATCCTCTATACATTTGTAGAAATGCATCTCGTGAGCATATATTGAGTAAATACTAAATAATTTCTATTTTTCATCTCTTATTATATATTTGAAATACTCTCTTGATATCAAGTATAATGGTTTTTAACTCATAAAAATATGCTGGTTTTGTCGTTAACAATTAAAGAATATGTACTCCCTCGATTCAATTTTGTTGCCAACCGTTCGATCCGTTATTTTCTACATAGGATGTTCTCTTCTCTTTTTTTTTTTTTCCCGGTTACTCATAGTATATTCTATCAGTAAGCTAATAATTTATTACCCCAAGAGCCCGTATATTATAATAACCTTTTTTTAACAATTTGTTACTTTTGTATATACTAAAAATATAAGGATTAATGTATATATTTGGTCTTTTAAGTTTATAGAAGGTTTTAATTTAGTCCCTTAACTTTAAAAAGCATTTTTTTTAATCCTAAAATCATTAAACTTAAATGATAATTTTTTTTAATAATCATCACCGTTTAAATATTAAACTTAATATGTTAGTATTTAATAATATTTTATTAACATTGGAAATATCAATTTTATCATTTTTTTGGTAAATAATTTTAGAACTAAAAAATTGAAAGTGTATTTTTTAAAGTCAAAACACTAAATCAAAATCTTGTATAAAGTTAAATGATTAAATATATACTTTAACCAAATATAAACATTGTATTTTACTTTTAAGTTTATTCACCATGTATTAATTTAAAAAACTACATTAATAAAAATTATGTAGTATGATATTATATAAAAATAATATAATATTTTTTAGTGCTGGTAATTTTCTGTAAAAAAAAAATGAGCAATACAAAATGGAAAAAAAAGAAATTACATTATGAAAGGAAAAGGGACAATTGCAATTAAAGACTATGAAATTTGAAAAACACATATAAAGACTTGTGACAACTTCACAATGACTTTTGACAATAATAATATGTCATGAAGTTGTTAAATTGTCACGAGTTATTATTTGTGTTTTTAAATTCTAAGGTCTTTTTTTTGTGATTTTTTCAAAAGAAAAACTGTATCTGGTTTGCTTTTAGTGTAGAACTGTAGGTAGCTCCTGCAGTTTGGCGTGTAAATGAAGGTTGACTTCTTGGAAGGCAACATGTGACACAATCTGTGAAAGCGTGTTGACTTTTTATCCTCCGTACAGTAAACCCCATGACGACCAGAAGTAAACCCCCCCCCCCCTCCAAAAAAAAAGGAGGGGAAGTCAGCGATGTGCAGATGTTTTGGCCAGATCAGCCCACACGCTAGACACGGCGGAGATCTTTTTGCCTCAAGCACCAGCTCCATGTATAGACAGGGAGAACACCTCATGATGTTGGAGCTGGAATGTTGTAGGAGTTGGTTTTTTTTGTTTCCCTCTCAAGCCGTCGGCTTGCCGTATATGTAAATAAATAAATAAATAAAAAAGCCACCCTTTTTACAGTTATTTTTCTATTTCTCATCTCAAAAATTAAAAATCTTAATTACTATCTCAGGTTCTAAATATAAAAACTAGTTATGGATATTAAATATAAGACTCAAATTCACTTTGTCTTTCAAATTTATAATGCATTTTAAAAATATTATTATTGATTGTAAAGTATTTTTATTCAAATGTAGCTCCAGTATATACGATTAAATAAGGATAATTTAAGAGAATAAATATATGCAAATAACTAATTTAATTAATTTTTTTAATCTTTCAAAATTAGTTATCTAGCCGTTATATTAAGGATTAGAGTATATTGTTCCTTCCACATCTCTAAAAAGAAAACCTCTCGTCTCTCTACTCCATTCATGAGGCCATTTCAACACATTTTACAGAGACCTCTTTTTTCCCCTATATCCTAATGGCAAGAGTTACTCAACAAAAGAGAGAAAACAGATTACTTAATTCTATCTTAAACTTTAATAATTTTTTTAAATTTTATCTCTTTTTAATATATATATATACACACTTTTATATTTTAATGGCTTGTTTTCATGAATAATAAGTGAATGATACAATTATATATTTATGCGAAAATTTTAATGATGTAATTTATAAATAGGATAAAAATTTTTCTGTGTCTTATAAACAGGATTAAATGCCCAGAAAGATGGCTATGTCCGAAACGGTCAATACATAAGTGATACGCTAATCATAATGCCAACCAAACAAGTGCAGTTTCAAAAGGGCCACCTTAGTTGGGGCCTCATGGACACTACACAAGACTTCAATAAATGGAAACCCAACTTTATGAGCCTTCACGGCTAAAATTTAAATTTGTTTAGGAAAATGATTTGGACCACAAACACAATTCAATGGCCGAAGTTTCTAATCGCTTTCATTCCCTGCCTTATCTTTGGACCAGAAGAATAGTCTCAGAAAAGACAGCCCAATTACACAGCACCTTGACTTTGTAAACTTTCGTTTAGTCCCTGTTGACCCACATAAAGGACTTTCCCGTCTCTAAATATAAGACTCATTTTATAATATAACCGATACTACAAGATGGATTTTATATTTAAGACTATAAGAGTACTACTTTATATTTTAATTATAAAATCTTATTTATAGACTATAAATGAAGTCTTTTAATTAGGATCAGAGAGAAAGAGTAGATTGTTTTGGTTAATTGAAGAATGAAAACTAAAACAACAGTCTTATAAAGCAATTCGGGTTGATTTGCATGCTAATTCAAAGTCTGTTAATTTTGTTTTTATGGAAATATCTTTCTTGTATTCGGAACCATACGCCCTTTTGAATTCCAAGCTTCGTTTGAATTAATAATACAAGATGCTTTTCCAAACAGCAAGAATGCTGATTTAAGGTCAATATTTGTTTAGAAGTTTTTTGTTTAATGACAAAATAGTGGAAGAGGGGTGGTGACGACAATTTATTTTTCGTTTAGAAATTAAAAAAAATATTAGGTTAGGGATTCAAAAGATGTTTGGTTGAACCAAGAAGTACTTTTAAAAAGTATTTTTATGCAAATTGAAATAAAACTCCTCTTACATATTTACTTTATATATCTTAAAATTACTTTAAAAACCATGATTTGATTTCATTTAAACACCTCTCAGTTTTTATTACTAAAATTATGTTGTTTCCAAAATGTAAATTGAACTGTGACTTAATTTTTATTTTAAAAAAAAGGTAAATTAGTTTTTGTTTAAAGTTGCGCATATTATTTCTTTTTGCAAAATCAAAACAAAATATTTGCATACAGCCTAGGCCTGAAGGCATAAAGGATATGCTGTCATAAATAATTATAATTTTTATGCGTTACTCTTTATTTATGAGATGGTAACTTGAAGATTGAATTTATTAACTGGATTTTATATATTCCTCTTATCCTTAATATAAAATTTATTGAACTAATTTGATTAGATTAAAAAATTTAGATAAGTTAGCTAATTATAAAAAATATAACATGTTTTTCGAAAACACTATAATCATCTTTCTTAATATCCTTCATCTCTTTTCTACTTGATTATATTTGAGGGAGTATCCATAAGAATAATTTTAAAAAAATTAATAAATATAATAAATAAGTCTTATATTTAAAATTAAAATTAACTGAATAATTATGTCTTGAGAAATATTTTATTAATAATTTGATGAATCCAAAAAAGAAATGGGAGTTATAATAAACCTCCATTTCCTCTCGCCAAGGCGGAAAAGAAAGAAGAAATTTGACCAACTTTTAGTTGGAGGTTGTTTGAAATGTCAACGGAGACCATGCTTCAGACCAAGCAGATAGCCACTGCCATACCGTGTCCCCCTCACGTCCTACCCCGGATTAAAACTCAGTGTCGTCTATGCCAAATCGAAGAACGCAGGGGAGCGGGACTGCCCAAAATTCATTCAGGAGTTCACAGATACCACACCGATCCTCCAGAAAAAAAAAGATCAGTAAAGTTACATTTGAATTCACGGGTCATCAAGCGTTTTCCAGTTCAAAAGCCTCCTGCAGAAAAGTTCACAAGCCTCGCATAGACTACCCTCCACACCTACCAATACCAACGCGTCAATTTCTGCTCCTCTCCCTTCTTCTCTCTCAAAATCTTACTTTCCTGTGTTTGGACCTCAAAGAGACCGTTTTTCCTAGACATGTCTGTGGAGTCAGCCTCTGCTTCTTCTGATCATAATATCAGAGGCG